CAGCCTTGGTCGAAGGTGCGGAAATGGCGCTTGTTTTGATCGTGGGCACAGTCTTTTGTTGGGGAGCGGCTACTGGTTGGACAGCTGGTGCGCCTGAGGTAATGCCATTCGGCTTGGGTGGCAGAATGGGAGCGGGTTCAGATGGTAGGTTCACACTCTGGTACAAACCTCTCAATAATTCGGCATCAAGCTTCTCATCAGCCAGAGTACGGTATGGGATGTTGTTGCTGTGTAGAAGCTTTATGAATTGCTTTGCTGACTCGCGATCCTGTTGAAGTCTTTCCAGCAGTGTGGGTTGCTTTTCCTGTTGGTTGACTGCAGTCTTGTTGCTCTGGATATTATGTTGGACGGCAGAAGTCGGGGGGCGACCGCCATTGACGTGAACAGGTGGAGGCGGATGAGATCCCATGTCACCTTCACTCAGTTCACCATCCTCGCGGTCGCTGTCCATGATTCCCTGTATACGCTCGTTGGTAGGTGGGGGCGCAGTGGTGAATGCAGGTGCAGGCGCGGGCGCAGGCGCGGGCGCAGGCGCAGGTGGTTGATGTAGAGCAGGAGGATGTGGAGGTCGCTGTGGAAGTGACTGGGGCAAATGGGTAGGCGGTGGGATATTCTGCGGTGTCTGAGGAAGCGACGGCGGAGGAAAGCCCATGGTGGGAAAGGGCGGCGGGGGCAGGTTGGGCGGAGGGAAGGCGCCATTCTGGAAGAGAGCCCATATGTTGGCGTCGGGAGGCAGCTGGGGCGGCCAGGAGGCTGCGCATAGTGTAAGTGAGGCAGCGCGCAAATAGTCTGATGGCAGGAAAGTGACTTACGCGCCGGGAACGGGGGCTGCTGGGAGTTGTGCGCATACGAGTTAAAGTTGATGCCGGGCAACTGCTGGAGCGGAGGAGCGCCGCGCTGCTCTTCTGTTGGCGCGCTCTGCGGCGGGGGCATTTGCGGGGGCGGAAAGCCGTTTGGGAAGCCGTAGAAAGGCTGGGAATAGTTGTTGGCCATGGTTGTTGAGTGGAGCAGCAGCGAAAGACAAGAGCTCTACGCGTCTCTTAGCACGGCTGTTTGTAGCGCCGGCGCATGGGGCAGCGGAGGGGATTGCGGATGGGTGAGAGAGGCAAGTTGGGCGGATGGGCGGAGTGAGTCGGGGCGGGTAGTTGGGGCGTGGCAGCGATGATGCATGTGCGTGTATTATAGTATAGTGGAGTGCGAGGCGTCAATGTTTCAATTTCGCGATGGCCTGAGGCCGGCACGTGACACGCACATGGACTTGTGTCCCACGGTACGCGAGTCAGGCCCGCGCGTCCGCTCCACTGCTACCAGCAGATGTGTTGTCGGCAGCGTGTGGCGCGTGTGCATGTGGCGCACGTGTGGCGTCGAGTGTGGCAGGTTGCTAGGGGCAGGCGGCTATGGTTGTTTACCACGGGCTGCAGTGCATCATGCACCCGCCCATCTGCACATCTGCCCTCCACCAAACTTCCCCAGAGGCAGGCCCCGTGCGTTGCTGTGCTTTGCCTGTGTCCCACACTGTGTGCATTTTGGCCTCCTGCTCCCTGCACTTGCGTCTGCTGCTCTGCCTTCATACAATGTCCGGCACATAACGCTGTCGCACCCGCTGCTATACCACTACCCACGCCTCCACCATGAGTGCGCCGGCGCCCAATGGCCGCCCATTCGCGCGCAATTCGCGCAACAGTCCTTTTTCCAGGAATGCATCCATAGCTGCATCCGGCCAGAACCCTCCGAACCGCCCACATTCCGCCCTCATCTCGTCACCGCTTGCCGAAGCAGATCCCGCCATGGGACATTTACGCCATCGCTCCCTCACAAATCTCACCTCCTCTACCATAGGCCGTAGCGACACTGCCCGCTCCCGCTCAAACTCAAATCGCAACAGCACGCCCGGAGGCACCTTTGCACCCCAATTCATCTCCGAAGAAGAAAACGACGCCCCGCGTCTAGGTGGAATCGTGGAGGGCGAGAACGACTTTTCCGGCAAGCGCTATGTCTGGCTTAGGGATCCAGCCACGGCCTTTGTCCGCGGTTGGGTCGTAGAAAACCTCCCCGAGGGAAGAATACTGGTGCAATGTGACAATGGTACCCAACAGGAGGTCGACGCCGATGCCATTGACAAAGTCAATCCCGCCAAATTTGACAAGGCCGACGACATGGCAGAACTCACACATCTCAACGAGCCCTCGGTCATCCACAACCTGCACATGCGTTACCAAGCAGATCTTATCTACGTACGTTCCGCTTGCCTTGCCAACTGGGCCACCATGCTGACCTTTCCTAGACTTACTCCGGCTTGTTCTTGGTCACAGTCAACCCCTACTGCCCACTGCCCATTTACTCGAGAGAATACATAAATATGTACCGTGGACGGAGTAGGGAAGAGACCAAGCCGCATATCTTTGCAATGGCCGACCATGCTTTTCGAAATTTGATTGAGGAAGGCACAAACCAGAGTATTCTCGTAACGTAAGTTAACACACTTCTTCAACCAACACTAGCTAATTATTTACAGAGGAGAATCGGGTGCTGGTAAGACAGAGAACACCAAGAAGGTCATTCAGTACCTTGCTGCAGTCGCCAATTCAGACACCCCACACACAAAGTCAGGAGGACGTCAGCTCTCAAACTTGTCTGAGCAGATTCTGCGTGCCAATCCAATTCTCGAAGCCTTTGGAAACGCGCAAACGGTGCGAAATAACAATTCGTCTCGTTTTGGAAAGTTTATCAGAATCGAGTTTTCACGGACTGGCCAGATTGCAGGCGCCTACATTGATTGGTATCTCTTGGAAAAGTCAAGAGTGGTGCGGCTCAACTCGAACGAGCGCAACTACCACGTCTTCTATCAGCTGCTGCGCGGTGCAGATAGCAGGATGAGACAAGAATTCTTCCTGGAAAACAAGGATACCGAGGACTTTGACTACACCAAGCACGGAAACGACGTCATCTCCGGTGTGTCGGATCCCGAGGAGTGGAATGCTCTTATCGAAGCCTTTCACGTCATGGGCTTCAGCGACCAAGAGCAATCTACCATTCTCAAGACCGTTGCTGCAGTTCTGCATCTAGGAAATATTCGCGCTATAAAAGAGAGCCGGCGAGCAGATCAAGCAACCCTGAACCTTGCAGCTGAGCAACAAGCCGAGATTGTTGCTCAGTTACTCGGAATCTCTGTCGATGATTTTATCAAGGCGCTTCTGCACCCCCGAGTAAAGGCAGGCAGAGAGTGGGTTGAGAAGGTGCAGACACCAGAGCAGGTCAACCTATCCATTGACGCGCTCGCCAAGGGTATCTACGAGCGTGGTTTCGGAGACCTTGTTGACCGCATCAATCGTCAGCTGGACCAGACTGGTGCTGGTGCAGATGATTCACACTTCATTGGTGTTCTTGATATCGCTGGTTTCGAAATTTTTGATGAGAATAGCTTTGAGCAGCTTTGCATCAATTACACCAACGAGAAACTTCAACAGTTCTTCAATCACCACATGTTCGTCCTGGAACAAGAGGAATACGCACGAGAGCAGATAGAATGGAAGTTCATCGACTTTGGCCGTGATCTCCAACCTACTATCGACCTCATCGAGCTATCAAATCCCATCGGAATCTTTTCCTGCTTAGACGAGGACTGCGTTATGCCCAAAGCCACTGATAAGAGTTTTACAGAGAAGCTGCATTCTCTGTGGGATCGCAAGAGCACCAAGTACAAACGGTCACTTCTCACCCAAGGTTTTGTTCTTACGCACTATGCTGCTGAGGTAGAGTACTCGACAGAAAACTGGTTAGAAAAGAACAAGGATCCAATCAATGACAATGTCACACGCCTTTTGGCGGCCTCCTCGGATAAGCAGGTTGCGAATCTCTTCGCAGATTGCGCCGATCCTGACGACGACATGGGTGGAACCCGCAGCCGTGTGAAGAAGGGCCTCTTCCGAACAGTAGCCCAACGTCACAAAGAGCAATTGTCAACGCTGATGACCCAGTTGCACTCAACGCATCCTCACTTTGTTCGTTGTATCTTGCCGAACCACAAGAAGCGGCCGAAACAATTCAGTGCGCCATTGGTACTCGATCAACTGCGCTGTAATGGTGTGTTGGAAGGAATCCGTATCGCGCGTACTGGTTTCCCTAACCGACTGCCTTTTGTGGAATTCCGCCAAAGATACGAGGTCTTGTGCAAAGATCTTCCCAAGGGCTATGTTGAGGGTCAAGTAGCGGCAAGCATGATTCTTGATAAGCTCAACCTTGACCGTTCACTGTATCGTGTGGGTATCACCAAAGTCTTCTTCCGGGCTGGAGTCCTTGCCGAACTCGAAGACCAACGCGACGCGCTTATCCGAGATATCATGATCCGTTTCCAGTCGGTTGCTCGTGGGTTTGTCCAACGTCGTCAGGCTCACAAGCGCCTTTATCGTGCCGAAGCTACGCGAATTATCCAGCGCAATTTTCAAGTTTACCTTGACATGCAGGCTAATCCATGGTGGAGGCTCTTCACCCGCATGAAGCCTATGCTTGGAGCAACACGTCAGGCTGCCGAAGTCAAAAAGCGTGACGAAATGATTCAGCAGCTGGAAGCAAAGATGCAGCAAGAGGCGGCCGAAAAACAGCGGGTTGAGGATGAACGCAGACGCGCGGAGATGGACATCCAACGGATCCAGAAAACACTAGAGAGTGAGCGTGCGCTAGCATTAGACAAGGAGGAGATCTTTAAGCGCCTTCAATTGCGCGAGGCTGAGCTCGCCGAGAAGCTTGCTGGCGCTATCGAGGATCAAGACCAACTCGAGGATCAACTGGACGCTCTTATGGAAGCCAAGAGGAGAACTGAAGATGAGGCCGAACATCTGCGTGGAGAGCTCGAACAAGCTGGACAAATCATCAGCAGGCTTGAAACCGAAGCCCGGGAGCTAGAGGAGCAAAGTTCTCGGTTGGAGGAACAAATCAAGGAGCTCGAAGCCATCAGAACACAACGAACTGAGGCGGAGGAATCGTTAAGCCAAGAAGTGAAGATGCTTCAAAGCCACCTCTCTTTGAAAGAGCGAAAGCTTCAGGATCTTGAAGCAAAACTTTTGAAGACGGACCAGGATCTTGACATCAAGCTGGCAGCTTCCCAAAAAGAAGTGCAGTCGGGCAAAAAGCAGATTAAGGAACTGTTGGACGAGAATCGACAAATTCGACAACAAATTTCAGACTTGTCTGCTACGTCTACGAGCTATGAAGATCTCATCAGGCGCAAGGAAAGCGAGTTGGCAATCCTGAAGACTGACCTGAAAAACTACGAAAACGATCGCCGCTTGTTTGACGACGAGAAACGAACGTTGGCCTCTAAGCATGACAGCCTTCAGAGCCGCCTCCGTGACGCGAATGCAGAGCTGGACGCTATGCGTTCGCAGAAACAACAAGTGGAGCGCGAGGCAGCGGATGCGAAGCGTCTTCTTGAGGAGAAAATTTCCGAGGACGCCGAGTACAGCGAGAGTCGCAAGCTCTTGCAAGAGCAAATCGAGGCCCTCAAGGGCGAACTCTTCACAGTACAAAAGGAACTCAGTCGGGAAAGGCAGTCTCGTGATGACGTTGAGATGCTTGGTGAGCACAGATACGACACACTCAAGCGTGATTATGATGCGTTGAACGAGTCAAAGATCACTATTGAGAAGGAGATGTATGCTCAACAAGATGTGCTGCGACGAGCGACCGAATCGCGGGCAGCTCACGAAAGGGAGCGAAAAGAGTACCAAACTGAACTGCATACTCTTCGTGAGAAGTATCTGAGATTAGAGGAGGAGAAATTGGATGCGGACGCTGAGGCAGAGCGCGCACAGGCAAAGCTAGCTCTTGAACGGCAGGCTGCTCAACAACGCGAAATCGAATCCAAGGACCAGCAGCTCGACCAACTGGAGGCAGAGCGTGACGAACTGGCTGAGCAGGTTCACAACTTGACCCAAATGCTTGCTGACTCTGACTCATTCAAAGAGCGGAACGACCAGCAAAAAGAGCGCCTTGAACGCGAGATCGTCACAATCAAAGGGCGGCTGACAGCATCGGAGAATGACAACCGCGCTCTTCTCAACAAGCTCCAACAGAAGAACTTGGACATTGCCCGAACCAACTCTCGAGTTGGTGACACGCAACGCCTCAAGATTACCCAACTGACCCATGAGAAATCCAAGGTTGAGGAGGAGAACAAGCTCCTCATGCGTCAACTCGAGGATGCCCAAGTTGCCATTACGTCTTTGGAGAAGCAAAAGGAGAAGCTTTCTCTGGATCTCGAGGATCTGAATCACGAAATCGCAAGAGAGCACAAGGCCAGCCGTAACGCAGAAAAAGCTTCATCAACTGTCAACATTCAACTCGCCGAGGTCAATCGTAAGCTGGAGACCGAGCGACAACTACGTACTCAAGCTCAAGCCAACACGCGTGCTGTTCAGGCATCCCTTGACAACACAAATCTCGAGCTGGAAGAATGCCACAAGCAGCTCATGCTTCTTCGCAAGGTCTTTGACCCAGAAGCAGCTGATGTGGCAATCACCTACGAAGCCGCAAAGCCCGAGATCGCCAGGACAGTGGATATCGCCGAGCGCCTTGAGTCTGTCAACCAAGCTTTGCGAGTAGCGGTAGAGCGGTATTCACGTGCTGAATCTCAACTCGAAGAACTTCGCGAAAGGCACGAGGGCGAAATGAACGAAATGGATGCTCGCCATGCTAACTCGAAGCGTGCTCTCTTGGAAGAGATGAACAATGGCCAGGTCAACCAAGCCAGTGTCCGTCATACGCCAACACATCACCGAAAAGACAGCGAGAACCGCCGACCATTTTCAATCACAAACACCCCAACTAACCAGCGACACATCAACAATGCAAACGACTCTGCGCGTTCTGACAAGACTGTCGACACTGTTACGTTCAACAATCGCATGGACATGGCTGCCGAGCTTGAACAGGTACAGAACCAATTGCAGATGTCAGAAATGCAAAACAAACACCTCAGAACTCAGCTTGAATCCTCGCAAAGCCGAAACGAGTGGCAGGAGGAAAGCCCCTCCACCCGACGTGTGCAGAAGCTGGAACGTGAGAATTACCGTCTGCACGATATGCTGGATGATTCAGCAACAAAGGTCTCCGCACTGGAGCACAGTCTTCGTTCAGGTCAACTTTCCTATCAGGAGGTCCAGACAAAGTCTCATGAACAGTTGTTTGATCTACTGACTTCACAAGAGCAGTCGCGCAAGTCAATTGTACAGGCACACAACAATGCCATCAATGAACTTGCAGATGCAAAGACCGCCTTTGACGACATCAAAGACGCCAAGATTGCTTTGGAGTCGGAGCTTCGCGAGCTCCACCATGAACTTCAAGAGATCACCAGTGAGCGAGAGCAGGAGCATGCCAACCACAGCCAGCTCCTCCAAGAGTTTGCTGACCTTCAAATCCGGCTGGACAACGAGACGTCAACCCTTGTTGATGTACAGTCAAGCTTGAACATGTACAAGAGTAGGGCTGACGAGTACTTCAACAAGCTTGAACAGGCAGAGATTGCCGTTTTGAGGGCGTCTCGTGCTGAACAGTTCGCAAGGACCCAAGCTCAAGAAGCTGAAGAGACATGTGCAACAATCATGGCTGAACGTAAGGAGATGGATGCTATGGTTGAAGATCTACAACGAACAGTTCAACGATACGACGAGCGTGTCGAGGACCTATCCACAGATCTGGCGGCTGCTCTGCAGGCTAAGAAACGTCTTCAAAACGAGCTTGAAGACTACAGGAGCCAGCACGCACACGATGTGGAAGACAGCGAGACCTCGCTGGAGCAGACCAGGAAGAAGTACCAGAATGAACTGCAGGCACTGACTCAAGAGATCGACCAGGAGCGCGAGAACATCATTCAAGTACGCGAGGAGAACGGACGTCTGCGCGAGGAGATTGAAGAATTGAGGAACAAGTGGGACGACGAGGTTCTGAACTCGTCGACCTGGGCAAAGGAGAAGAGCCGTCTTGAGATGACTCTGCAAACCATTTCCGACTCGCGCGACGAAGCTGCCAATGCGCACAACGAGGCACAATCCAAGATTGTCAGTCTGCTATCACAGGTTCGCACATTACGTACCAACGTCGACGACCTTGCGGCAGAGCGTGATTCTGCCATCGAAGAGAAGAAGCGCCTTGAGGCTCGTCTACAGGAGGCTGCGGCTGCCTTGGATGATCTTTCTCGTTCCGAGTCTCCGGCTACGCGTAACGCTGCTGCTTACGACCGCGACTTGCTGGAGCTCAAATCTGGTCTTGCTCAGCAAGAGGATATTACTGCCGCTGCCGTTGGCAAGATGCGCCGTGCAGAGGCACTCGCACAAGAGCTGCAAAAAGACATCGTCGCCGAGCGCGAGGCAAACGTCAAGCTCCACAAAGACAAGGCTGCAGTGGAGAAGAGCCTCAAGGACCTTCAACTTCGCCTTGTGGATCTCGAAACAAAGGGTTACAGTGGATCAGCTGGCAAGGACGTGCGCTTTCTCCACGGACGCATCCAAGAGGTATGTTCTTCTATTTCTCCCCCTTATCTGTATCGAATAGTGCTAACAAGTTCAATTAGCTCGAAAAGGCACTCGAAGACAGCGAGGCCACACGCCTGTCCGAATCGCGTAGTGTTCGCAATGTAGACCGAACTGTCAAGGATCTGCAAACACAGATCGAACGCCGTGACAAGCAAAACGCCTCTGTCATGGAAGACCTTAACAAGTCTCGTGACAAGATCTCCAGTCTCCTCGCTACCATTGATGAGCTACAGTCTTCGGACTCTACGAATCAACTCGCCGCTAAGCGTGCCGAGCGTGAACTCCGCGAAGAACGTGAGAAGAATTTGCGTTTGGAGCGTGAACTAGAAGGCTGGAAGAACCTGCGTGTCGATCGCCGCAGTATCCTTGGTGTTCCGCCAGCCCCTGGCAGTGATGCAGGCGACAGCCGTCCCAGGAGAGGTAGCTCGATTGGTCTGCTAATGGGCGAGATGGGCGAAGCCTCTGCCAACGACAAGGGCAAATACGGCAGTCTCCGATCAAACCTTCGTCGCGTCAGTGGTCAGAAGGGTTTTTTGTAGTTGATGGGATCTCTGAGGGGCGGGGAGTATGGAGGTCCCGGTATCCTTTATTGAAGCTGAGTCCGCCAGCCGAAGAAGAAGAGGACTTAGCAACGAGAGATGTTGTTAATAATGGGCATGGTAATGTTGTCGAAGAGGTGGAGCTGGACTCGGATGAATTCGCTAGTTTGGCGCATGCGGTGGGAAATCATGCTATTGATGATGCCACCGGTGGGGCTGAAGAGATGAATTTTGAGATTACAGATGATGAGTCTCTGGCTGGTGATGATGGCGATAGCGCTGTGGGTATCAAGAGAAGGAGGACTATACGCGTCGTCATTCGGTCGAGGGCGTTTTTGTAATCGTTCGGTTGGAGAGGAGGGAGAGGAGACTTTCGCTACTATTGCTTTATGCGGTCTACGCTTATGAGCATTCTGTGGTTTTTTAGCACTTCTGGTTCATGCTGAGCATGGCGTTGCAGTGTGGTTGGCTTATATCCAGGGAACTAGAGGGTCTTGCATGGCTCGGCTCTTAGGTGTGGGTCTTTTGGATAGGCCCTTTCTACATGATTTATGTTGCGTATTACGTTTAATTAATTATCTACTACTATTAATGGCTATTGCGAGTAACGATTTTATATTCAAGTTGCATTACGTAGGGGTTCAAGAGATAGTTTTGACTTGGTGTTGAATTGATGATTCACTATAGTTTAAGAAGAGATCATCGACACTGTACAAACGCGCACTCAAGCAAATGAGAAGTTCATGCAAAACAACATAATACAATGAATCCAATATCTACGAGTCTCAAAAGCTATGTACAAAATCACCCAAACACTTCTATTCCCTCTCTTTCATCCTCCACCTCAAACACAAGCAAAAGCAAGCAGCGTGAACGCACCCCCCGCATACGCATTCACCACGCCCGCCACCGCCCCAAGCCCTCCCATAACATCCTCACACAACTTATTCCCTTCCGTCTCCGCAATCGCAATATCCACACCAACATTCGGGGGCGCCGCATTCGCCGCATCAGGCGCCTGATAATTAATACCCCAAAACTTGGGCACCTCACAGTTAATCCCCTTTGACTTCTTCTGCGGACAATACGCCATGGCCGTGGTACCGAAGCAGTGATTCGTATACGTGACTTCCTCGCATTTTGCGACTTCCTTGGCGGCTAGCGCTAGGATGTCGACGAGGCCGTTGCGGATCCAGGTTGGGTAGGAGCCGTCGGGGCCTAGCTTGATTTTTAGGGTGTCGATGCGCGAGGGCTTCGTGAGGGTGCCGCTGAGTTCGATAGGGTTGGTTTCGCATTGCCCGGATTCGTGGCAGATGGGGCCTACGGCGGCCATGATTGTTTCGGGGGTTATGGAGCCGACTTGGACGGTTTCTTTGGAGACTGTGGGGGGTTAGGGTGGAAGTGGGAGGGGAGAGGGGGGAGGAAAGGTACAGGTGAGTTTGATGTTGCCTTTGGTGTCCCAGGTTGCTTCGCTGCGCTTGGTGATGGGATCGTGTTTTATAGAGGGCACGACGCCGGCGGTGGCAGTGGCTGCGAGGAGGGCGATGATGGTGAGGGTGTTGGAACGCATGACTGCTTATTGTATGGGATGGTGAGTATAGATGGAAATTGATAGTCAAGCTGAGTGTTTGATCGCTGTAGTAGTGAAGAAGCTGAGTAGATGCTGATGATATTTCCATCTCTCAACAACTCAACCACTCCTTTATACCTCTACACTTCCATCTTCTCCATAACTTCACCGCCCAACTCTCGAACACCCTATCTTCAGGCGTTCTCTTCGCCGTTCAAACTCGCCGTTCACATTGTCCCCATCCCCCCAGAAAGACCGAGCAAGAATCCCCATCCAGCAACCCAACCTGTCAATCCCCATATCCAGGTCCTTGGGATCGGAGGGAGGCTCAGATGTAGTAAACTGACCAATCGCACCTTCCTACTAAGCCCTCAGGAACCATCTTGTCCCCAAGCAAAAGAATGCCTGAAAATAGCTACCTACTTACTACAACGACCTCCTCAAGCAAAGATCCCCACACCCCCTTCTTCAATGGGGAAATTCCATACAAGCGACGCCCACCAGGCTGTCCGCATCCGTACCTCACCTTGGCATCCTACGTACTCGCACCTGTGCATGGGGGGCCTAGGGCACCTAAACATTCTACATAGAGCCAAAAAGAACCGAAAAGCTTGAACCCACCAACCGGGAATCGTAAAATGGCGGACGCTAGCATCGGCCCTGCCAAGCCCACCAGCAGATGGGGGCGGATGAGGCTGAGTCTAGCGAGAACGACATCGCCGACTACTTACTGCGCACTACAAGACGGGCCTTCTGTTGGTTTAACAGGATGCAAGATGGGCGATGCGCAATGGAGATAGATATGCAAGGGGCGGGACGGGACGCCTTATCGTATCTTTCGTCTTGGTAGCGAGGCTGTGAAGAAAGAAGATCGACATGCATAGATACACGCGCGTGTTCATAAAAATGACATTGTTTTGGAAGTACGCATAGCACTGCGGCTTTGATGAGTCTGTAGTAGAACTGCTTGGTTTCCTTGAATTTGCATTAGCATCTATAGGAGGAAAAAAAATCTTGATCGTTTAATTTGTCTCCAAAAAGATGAAAAGCGTTAGTAGTATAACCGTTCTATGAGTACCATACTACCCTCCGCGCTCCCCTGCCCCCAAAAAAAACTCATCAACCTTTTTTTTTTCTTCAAATTACAGTGAGACATGACCACTTACAATACCATTTTTCCACACAAAAAAAAACCTAATGACGAGAATTTTAAACCCAGACTGACCCAGACATTCTATACCATACTCCGTCCTCGCAGCAAACCAAAAACACCCCCCCCCCCCCCCCCCCCCGCCGAACTCTCTCACACACACTACACCCTTATCTCCGCCACACCGACCACCAACCTCCACCTCCTCCTACCCAACTTACGGAGTTAACCACAACGCTAGCGGGCATATCGGTCGGACCGGTTATTCGGTCGATTCGGCCAAGGGGGGACCCGCCCCGCTAGTAACGGGCTGTGTTTTCGTGAGTGTGGATGTGTGGGTGTGTGTGTGTGTGCTTCAGCCTTCAGCCTCAGCCTCACCGAGCAACCAAAAAAAAACAGGATGAACGTAGAACGGGTGTATATGGTTAAAAATAGGATTTTGGGGGGAGGGAAAGTCTGCCTTGCATCGCGACTTTTGTCGTTGAGAGAAATATATATACACGGGAGGGGAAAGGGAAGGGGAGATTGCTCGAATGCTAGAACGCTCGGTGACATGGCAAAGATTTGCATTTTGGGAGAGAGAGATAAAGGGATGATGGTGAATTGGTAGTAAGTATGAATTCGCGTTGGTCAATATGTAGGATACGAGGATTCGCGAACCAAAAAAAAAATGTAGCAACAACGAGAGTAATAAAAGAATAAAACATCCAAAGGGTATATTCTCCTCTCTACGTACATTCCTCTACCGAGAAAAAAATCCTCTAAATTTTCGCTCCATGCACAAACAACCTAGTTCCATGCGTAGGCTTACTCTCCTTCTCACCAGGTCCGCCGGCGCGACCGCCAAAGACGAGTTGAGCGCGGAGTTTCCAGTCGAGGGGGATTTTCCAGTGCTCTGCGGCCTTGGGGTCGACGACGGGGTTGTAGTGCTGGAGGTTTGCGCCGAAGCCTTCTGCTTCGAGGGCGACCCAGAGGGCGAATTGGTGCATGGCGTTTGTTTGCTCGGACCAGTCGCCGAAGTGGTGGGCGTAGGGGGCTGTGTGGCGGGGATTGGGGGTTAGTTATGTGAAAGGATGGTTGGGGGGGGAGATGGGGGAGGGGACGTACGGAATGCTTTGCGGAGGGCTTCGACTGGCTCGGGGTCTTCGTAGAAGAGGATCTAGGGTTGTGTTAGTTCATGCTTTTGTGCTTCTTAATGCTTCCGGCATGAAGCTTTGCAGTTGGTGGTCGGGGACGAAGCTTGGGTCTTGTATAGTGGGGTAATACAACCCTTGCACACATTACAAGACCTCCATAGCGACGGCAATATAGGAAGAGAAGGGGTACATACTGTTCCGTAACCAGCCTTGAATCCTCCAACTCTTTGTTGCGTCCCAGCGAACTTGTCCTCAGGAGTAAGAGGCTTCAAAACCTCAAGGACATAGTCCCAAAACTGGTCATGGTCCTTGTTCAACAGCACAACAAGACGGGTGCTCTGAGAGTTAAAGGATGAAGGAACATTAAGCAGAGCCAGCTCTGCAAGTTCAGTAATTCTCTTATCTGAGACGGGCGATTCCTTGTTGAGTGCGTAGATTGTGCGACGTTCCTTGATGGCGTCAAGGAAAGATTTTTGAGCAGACATGCTGGGCGATGTGGTTGAAAAAGCGGAAGAGGAAGAGGCAAGCTTGTTTGGTGTAGTAGTAGTAGAAGAGATGATTGAGGACTGTGGTGTCAAACGGAGGGGTGAGGCCACGCTCTTGTATCCCCCGCCGACCCACGCACGATACCTGGCTGCGCGCAGGGTATTGCTCAGCATCTGCGCCATGGACTCGGAAAGTTGTAGTGGGGAATCCGTGGAAAGACGGTTTTCGGATATGTCCTGGTCCGGCGATTGGAATCTTGGTGCTAGTATATTCTGCAGCAGCAAGGCAAGAAGCAAGCCCGATATGAGGCCGATGAACAGTGAGCGAGCAGCTAAAACGGCCATGGTATGACGTGATCAGTTGGGATTTGAACGTATGCCGTAAGCAACTACAAATGCCTTTAGTCAATACTACGATACATGCGCGAAGGTTTCATATGCCATCTCACCGCTTAATGTTGCCATCGGGGTCGGCATGTAGTAATGTCTGGTTGCCGAGGCGATTTACAATCCATCCGTCAGCTACAGTGTTGAGGCGCGCACTAATTCCGCGCGAGGCTGTCATCAACTCCACATCCCCGGAGGCTTACACATCATGTTTCACTTCTGATACTTGACATTCCGCAACAGTCCCGCGTATAACGTGCAAATATGTCGGTCAAGTCACAATAGGCGAGCAAAGAACTGATAGATCTACTTTTTTGTTTGACAATTACATGGCTATGCTAGTATAGCACAAAGCTTTCAAGTTACGAGACCCTGTCTCGCAGAGCGCTAGTACTCTAAACTATGATTCTAGCGGCATTGGCCAAAACCCTTTCTGATAGAACTTCGGACAGTGTTTCTGATATAACAATTTGTCTCGCAGCCACCGGTATCACGTACCAAAAACAGTTCAAACGCCCTTTTGCTCGCCCTGCTCAAGCGGGCCTTGGTGACCCATCTTCTCAGTCGTTTCTGGAGAAGATCCATCTGTGTGGCCTTCGCGTAGATGATGAGGAACCCATTTGAACGAGGTGCGCGGCGTAGTCTCCTCAAGCATGCGATCAACTTGCTCAAGAGAGAGACCTTTTGTCTCAGGCACTAGGAAATAGGCAAAAACAACGCAGGCAGTGCACGTAGCACCCCAGACGAAGAAAACCTTTGCCTTGAGATTTCCATAGCTCTCATCGACCATGTAGGGAGTAATGAAACCGATGATGAAGTTCCAGAACCACTGTTCAAGTTAGCATTTCTTCGTTGAATATTGTATACGTCAACACTACTTACATTGCTAGCAGTAGAAAGAGCAACGCCCTTGGCGCGGATGGGCAGAGGAAATATCTCTCCAATGACTACCCAGGCTGCTGGTCCCCAGGTTGACGCGAAGAAGAAGATGTAGAAACAGGTGAAGACGATCAGACATATCCCAGCGGCCTTGCTGCCCTCATCGACTGTGCCGACAATGGCAATGACGAACTCGCAGACGAGCATGCCAATGGCGCCAGATATGAGAAGCATGCGGCGGCCAAATTTCTCGATAGTTCAGAAGGAGATAGGGGTAGATCCGACGTTGACTGCAGTGGTGATCATGGAGATGAGGAAAGCATTCTCGAGTCCGACGGTCCTGAAGAAGGTTGACCCGTAGTAAAAGACTAATCAAGTGTTAGATGCCTTCAAAGTACTTGATCCATATGACTTACTGAAATTGACGCCAGTCCCCTGCTGCATCATCTGGAGCGCCATTCCCAACACGACGCGGCGGAGGTTGCTAGACGGCTTCCATCCACCTCGAAAGCAATCAACCCAGCCTGTGCGTATATTACGCATTTCGTAGTCGTGATTGTCAGTCAGCTCTTTAAGCTCATCAATGATATAACTTGATTCGAAATGCTGTCCGCGGAGAGTTCCAAGAGCACGTGCAGCATCCTGGGTACGACCTTTTTTGACGTACCAGCGAGGCGACTCAGGGAGCAAGAAAAGGCCAATACCCAAGACACAAGCAAACAGCCACTGAAGAGCCATTGGAATTCGGTATGAGCCCGAGTCCATACGGTCTTTTGTCGCATTGTCCACAACTGACGCTAGAAGCAAGCCGATTGTGATGCAGAACTGGTATCCAGATACAATAGCGCCACGGAAGCGCTTCGGGGCCACCTCCGACATGTATAGGATGATGATGGCAGAGACGAATCCAATACCGAAGCCGGCGATCAAGCGACCAGGGACGAGCAGAGCTACGGTGGTAGAAGCGACTTGGAATATGACTCCGACAGAAAAGATGGCGCATCCCACAATGACCGTAGAGCGACGACCGATCCAGTCAGCCACAGAGCCTGCAGCCAGTGCGCCGAAGAAGGTACCAGCAGAGAGGATGGAGACGATAAGAGACTTCTCCCACGTCTTGTAGATGAGACTGTTGTACGCATCCTTGTCGTTCGAAGGGCCTGATCGTATGCTTAGTATACAGACAACACATCAAGTCACCTCAAAGGTTAGCACAGTGTTTGGACTGAACTTACTCCCAAACTGCTGCTTGAAGAACGACATGCCAAGCACTCCATTGATATACCCAGAGTCATACCCGAACAGAATCCCACCAAAGGCCGCGAAGACGCAGAGGAGATATCCTCGTAGCGTGACGGGCGCTTCGACGCGGTCGTGCGTCATGATGCATACTGCTTGCTTTCTTGTGTAGTGTGGAGGCTTTGGATCGAATTGTAGGTGCTAGAGTCGAACCTGAACTGCGTAGTGAGATGGAGTAAAGAGCGTCGTGTAGTGAGAATTCCTCTCTCTTTGTTTTGATGTGAGTGGGAGAAATATACAGTGCACTCACTGACGCGAGAAAAGGGTTTGTGTGGCAAACGAAATAGGAAAGAGTAGAAGGAAATAACGAGTGAGTGAGTGAGTGGTTGCTTGGCGTGGATATGAGTGCGCAGCTAGTGTAGTCTGGAGTGAAACGGCGATAGCAAACAAAACATGACTTGACTTGGTACGAAATAAGAAAATTACAGGGTGATAGTGTGGAAGTGTACTTGAGGTGGACTTGATGGGAGCAAAGCGTATAGGATAGCCATGCGTGATGATACAGCAAGTAAATGAAAAGTTGTCTGAAGAGAAAAAAGCCATAATGAATCCCAAGCACCAGAGCACAGTGGCGTGGTAGCGATTGCAAAACTTTGTACCAGGCGTCAAATGGAAAAGATTTGGACGTGCTAGTCCGATAAACTTGAAGAAAAAGGGTGACATGAAGTAAACTGAAGTAGCAAATACCGCAAAATCAAAACAACACCAGATCAAAAACCGTAAAACATAACTCAACTTCGTCTCGCACCCTCCCGCACCGCCTCACTATAACTCGGCGGTGGCACCTCTTCCTCCCCACTTGCCCTCTCCCCACTCAAACTCCTCCTATGGCGACACCCTTCTTCAGACCGCTCACCATTCCGCGCCTCATCCAGCACTCTCTGCGCATCCGCCCGCTTCCTCAGCATCTGCTCCTGGCGCTGCCTCGTCGTCATTGGCGGCGGGGGCGCAGACGACGAAGTGCCGTATATAGCTTCATGTTGCTTCTCAAATGTCAGTATTCGAAAAAAAAAAGAAGCGATATAGTTTATTGAACTGGAAGGGAGATGTACATACAGCGATGGCTTTCTTCTCTTTTCGTTCGAGTCTTTTGTCAGAGATTGTGCGGCCGAGTTTTTCGGCGCCTAGGCCGATGCCGATGGCGATGAGACCGGCCATGGGGGGATTGGGTTGGTTTGATTTGATAGGGAAGTCCTGTGGAATAGGGTGTGAGATGTTAATGTGTAGGAACCCTGTTGAGGTGACGAGATGGGGGTATGAGTACGTAAGCGGGTGGTACACCTGCTCTTCTGCGATAGGGGATGAGCAGACTGTTGAACCAGATGATAGAGGGGCGTTGCTGGCTGGTAGATATCCAGTGGTATGGGGATATTATGACGGATTGAGGGTTGTACCTTGTATGTGATATCAACCGCGCTTTCTTGAGATACACTTGTTTATGATTCCGGACCCTTCGGATTATGGCGAGCAATATCATACAACAGGACCACCGTCTTTATTGATGTTTAAACCAACAGTTGCCCGTTCCTGCCGTTATGTACAAATCACATGCAGGTAGTGGTGACGTACTATAGATGTGGCGCAGCATGTGACGTTTTGATTGGTTGTTGCATGACTGGTGGCGAGTGCGAGGCAAGTGCGATAGAGTCCTTTGTTGTATGAGACACACTCTCCATCGTTTCGTGCAAGGTTGTAGGGAAAGTCCCTATTGGTTTGCGGTCGGAGGTGTCGATCAAGGGTTATTGATATGATTTGTCAATGGCGAGACACGATACATACGGGTAGTATTGCGATGTAACTTTGACAGCATGCATCGCAACCCCCCATTTTTTCTTTTGATATGTACTGGAGGGTCTAGGCAGCAAAGGCGTATACCGTGTTGATGTTGCTCATGCTAGTGATAGCTGGCATTCCACGTGGGAGTAAGGTATTGCCATTGGCCGCATGTAAGGCAAGAGACTCATGCTTCTTTGTCATGATTGGGCTATATTACATGAACCAAGATCGTCAGCTGGGATATGGCTGATCATCATATGTGCCGCGAACGATGGGTCAGAGTACTCTCACTCTAGTGATTGGTCTTTTTTTATACGAAATTGTGCTGTTGTGCATAGGCACGTGATGAAGAAACAAAGGCTGAGGTGGTTGAAAAGCCCTCTTGCTTGTGCAACATGTGATGAATCGAGAGGGCCAAGGGATTTGTCGGTATACAGTTTGGCTATGCAGTGCTTGCCGAATGCTTCCAAGTGGGTAATCAGTGTTCTTACAGTCTAACATGAATACTAGGGGCTCGACATAGGTGTTGGTGTTACAGTCAAACCGCAACGTTCTGTGGCTCGTGGGGAGCCAGGGTAGATGTGATGGTAATACCGGAACCTGTCCAATCAGCAGCCAGAGATAGCGTGTCCACCACTTGGAGAGTGGACATTCTACCTAAGGAAGGCGCCACTTTCATCATTTCACGGGGCTGAGATGGGTTTAGCTGGGTGTAGTGGTGTTGGGGCATGATTGGTGGTCGCGACGAGATTGCACAATGAGCATGAAAGTCCGAGGAGGCGAGCGGATGCGAGTGGAACTATCACATGGGAGAGGATGATAACGTTTCAAGATAGTTTGAGCGGCCGAGGAAGGGAGGGTGTGAGTGTATGGTGTTGGGGAAGGTTGCCGGCGTGGACGAGGAAGTGGCGCATGTAACGACGCACAGGTCATGAAGCAGGAAAAGGGCCGTGTCAAGTAAGTATGTAGGCGGTACTTGCTGGCTGTCTGGCTGGCTTGGGTTACAGGACTTTTGTGATGAACTGACGCACCGTGACTCGAGAGGGTTGTTGGACAGGCGATGGCAGGAGACAAAGTAAGTATGTACGGAACATGGATGGGGGCGCGGGCCAATGGGGATGCAGGCAGGGGTAGGACGGAAAACAGGCTTTTTGGGCAGTTGGCCAATCAGCGAGGCTGATGGGGGCCCACTGCTTGGCTCTAGTCGAAGAAGAAGCGTGAGCGGGAGCGCCATGCATCTGGCAGCGGTGCACGTGGCCAGTCACAGCGACGAGGGGTTTTGCCGGCGAGAGGTCGAGAGGAGATTGTCAAGAAAAGACGGTGGTTGCTTTTGGCTCGGGCGTGGACCGGCATGCCGAGGGCAGCGGCGGGCATGGGTGATTGGTGGCTAGAGCCGATGGATGGATGGATGGGTGGATGGATGGGATGCTGCGTCTGCTGCCTGACCTAAAAGATGACATGGGTTTCCGACGCAGAGGAGGGATAAGGTTGGGCACAGCAGCAAGCAGCACCGAACAGGCGCCCAAGAAGAGGCCGCCCGCCGTGGTTCGCGGGCACCAGAGGCAGAGTAGAGCAGAGGCAGAGTAGAGCAGAGGCAGAGAGAGGCGTCGTAGGGCGCAGCGAGGGCCTAAGGCGACGGCCATTGGCGAACAGCAGTTCCGTGGATCTGTCGAGCGCTGGGTCCTGAGGCCGATCTCGCTGTGGGCGCCGCTCGCAGCCGTGATTCGCTCGAGGCCCGGTACTTGGTGCGCCAAACAGCCGGGCGAGGTGGGCATGGTGGGCTTGGTCGCCAGCGCGGCCACGGCTGGGGCAGGCACCAGGAGCCACAACCACAAACGCGGGCTGCCACCATGGTCGGAGTGGGAGGAGGGCCGGTCAGCCTGTGAGCATGAGCATGAGCATGAGCGCCGTGTGGTGGAGCCTGCCTGTGCTGTGCCTGCACCCAAATCCGCGACATGCCGCACACCATAGAGTCCAACAAAGTCCGCAGTACGTATGCGTAGGCTAAAGCTGCGCCCCGGCCTAGACCCAACGTTGCTCACACGCCCGCCCCTGCTGCTCCAGCCGACTCCCACACAGCACAGAGAGGCATGATACACACTACTTACACACACGGCTCGACGACATGCTCGACTCGTCCGCCCTGTGCTGCGTGGCGTCTGTTCGCTTCGACGGAGAGGCGAGAGCGACGGAGCGTGTACCTGTCCATGAGTGCGACAGCGAATCCACCACTCGCACACAATATGTAATCAAACTAGCTCAGCACTGTGGCTCTCCCTTCCCCCCCCCCTCCCTCCCCCAAGCATGGTCCGCTCCCAATGCGCGCCGCCTCCGCTGGCTTGTCACCAAGCAGAAGCCAGTCGCACCCCCAACCGTTGTCTCTGCCTGCCTGCCTGCCTGCCCTGCCCTGCCCTGCCCTGCCCTGCCCTGCCCTGCCTTGCTCTGTTCCCCTACTTGCCTCTCCACCACTACTACTACTACTACCACCACCCCACCACTACAATCACGTCCTCCTTCTCCAACATCATCCTCCCCACCACTGCCACCACCACCACCATCCCTTTCCCACTCCTGCAAGGCTGCAATCCCTACACCCCCCCAGCTCCTCGTCCTCTGCTGCCACGGCGACTAGCACCACGGCGATCGAGAAAAACAAGAGCAGGTGCAAGACAGCTGCGACTAGTTGGGCACCACCATTACTACCATCATCCTCCCCTCTACGGCTGCAGTGTGCCTGTAAGTGCGTATATCCTCTGACGACACCCGGCGCGGCTCCTGGCCCTGCCGCCCATTGGCTTAAGCGTCCCACCCCCCAGGCCGCTTCGACAGCGCGGATCGCCCAGGCTCGCCGTCGCTCCCAGCTCGAGTCCGCGTCTGCGCCCAAAAAGCCCCTCTGCCTACCACCATCGCTGGCCTGAGTCGACGCCTGTTTTCTGCCCACCCTCCGCACACCACCGTCACCTCGCTCTCTCGCATATCCCCTTCGTTTCCACCTGCGCATACGACCTCTCTCTTTGTCTCTGGCGCATGCTCATCCCGTCTCCCGCTGCCTGCCAGCGCTGCTCTCGGCTGCCCGTCGCACCCTTCTGGCCGCGCCCTTTGTCCCTGCGACACCCGTCCCGACAGCGTCACCACACACGACACCATGGCCACCAGACCTAGCCCCAGCAGCACAAGTCCTTCGGTCCTGTCCAACAGCCCCTTTCCTCACGGTTCTCACACCAGCTCCACATCGTCGTCGCCACCAAAGCTCTTTGCCTCGCACAACACCATGACTGCCGACGCCTTTGCACCACACGCCTACCCTACCCCCGGCGCAATCGGAGAGCGCAGACCCCTGGACAAAGGTTCCGTCATCAGCCCTCGCCACAGCATTCTTTTGCGCAAGCTGCCCAGCAACAGCGACCGTGAGGCAGTGCGCAACATTCTCCTCTTTGCCAAAGACCTCATTGACTGCGAGGTCCTCTCACAGCCCAGGCATGCAGACGACAAGGGCTTTGCCTGCGCCGTTGCCCACTTCCAGACGTACGAGGGCGCAAAGGAAGCCCGCGATTTGCTAAACGGCAAGCGCAATGCCACCAACGATGCCACACTCGTCGTCGAGTTGATGCACGACGCACCCTCCGGCACCGTCGGGTCGCGTCGCAACACCCTCGACAGCATACCCGCGCGCCAGGCCTCTGTGGTAAGCTCAATGTCCACCTCGACTGCCAATGGCCGACAGTCATCGCGATACAACGGCACCTTCCAAAACATGGAGAAGATGTCCCCACCCAACGGGACCCCAGGTCTTGGCAACGGAGAATTCCCGGTCAACAACCTCTTCTCGCCGACATCTCCCGTCAACACGTCTTTTGCAAGCCGCAATTTGGGCAAGTCAGTCATCAACGACGAGGCGGATGATGACGATGGGCTGCTGAACGAGTCGATTGGGTATGCCACTGGTGGCCCCCAGGCTCAGTCAAGCATGCAGCGCCGCGCCACAAACCCAAACTCTTCCACCATCCCCGTCCAGCGTTTTGGAAGTCTTTCTCTCAACACCAACGGCACTTCTGGAGTCAAATCTCCGCCCATGTCAAACTATGCATCCCCTCGCTCCGGTTCCAACATGCAATCGCCAGTTCCCACAATGTCTACCATGTCTGCCATGTCGCCACATAGCATTCCATCTGCTTTGAGTAGTGGACCGAGTACTGGCTACCAGCAGTACTCTCAGCATTTTGCAAGGCCCACGTATCCCCCGGTGAATCCAGCCGATCAGAACCCGCCATGCAACACTCTTTACGTGGGCAATCTCCCAATGGATACCTCCGAGGACGAGCTCAAAGCCGTCTTTTCGAAGCAGCGCGGATATAAGCGCCTCTGTTTCCGGACCAAGCAGAATGGCCCCATGTGCTTTGTCGAATTCGAGGACACGTCTTTTGCTACCAAGGCTCTCAACGAACTTTACGGATACATGCTCCACAACAGTGTCAAGGGCGGCATCCGCCTGAGTTTTTCCAAGAATCCCTTGGGTGTGCGCAGCGGTCAGAACTCTGCCATGGGTCCGCAATCTGCCATCACCCCAACTACCCCTCTTTCAGCTTTTGGTAACGGCGTCGCTGCCCCTCCTGGCTTCTCAACCGCTACTGGCCCACCGCCAGGCTTGTCAGCACCTCCCGGCCTATCCGCGGCAGGCCACGCCAATGGTAGCTCTCCCTTTGGCATGTACGCCAATGGGGGATTCGGGATGGGTCCCAACGACATGGCTGCCTCGATGCGTCAACCACTAGCGTCCAGTGGCACCGGCAACGGCTTTGGAGGCTACTCCTCATTCATGATGGGGCGCTAGGCGCACCCATACTAATCTGCTATGCCATTACGAGTGATGATAACGGAGTTGACGGCGCATTCATCACAGAGCATTTGCAAATTTTGCTTCGTCTATTGCTGACACTATTTTCAGTCATTTCGGTCATGGCAAGGTGTTGAGTGTCTGGGTTATATTTGGCTTCATTAAACTACGGGCATGGGTACTGGCGCGGAATCTCCTGGGCTATCATGCCCGTTGGACGTGGACCTCTTTCCAGCATACAGCGATGATTCCCCCTTGTGCGATTGCTCATTTGGTACCCCCATGGAGTTCGGAGAGAGTTTCCATTTGTTTTCTCATCTTTTTTTTATTCTCTCCCTATGCACTGTCCTCGGGCTTGCATTTATCCAGAGTATTTCTTCTGTCATTTTCGCAGGAAAGCCGGATTGCATGGACATTCCCATGTTCATGTTTTGGGCGTATATTTGGGGTTTTTTTTCTGATGTCGTTTCTCTCTTATTCATTTGCAGCACATTTGTTACTGGTACTCATTGTTCGGCGCGACCAAGTTCTAATGGGCATTGGCTTTCCATGAGCGACTAGCAGAACATGCAAGTGTCTGTGTCTTTGCATGGAGAGCACTTGGATTAGTTCACGATTGTTTCGTTTCGTTTTTTTAGGGGCTCATTTACACGATAGATGCGCATGCAGCGCTACGATATGTCTGGGCTGGACACTATCCTGTCTCTACAGCGTATTGATTCGTTGGCATTCACGTTTCGCTCATGTTCCCCTCGCAGTGGCTTTTGCTCTGTATGCAACGGCCTTGTTTTACTCAATACCCTTTTAAATGCAAATGTGGAGTTAGGGATGGAATCTAAGGTGCATCTAACAAGACCTCATTGGCCATGGTGATGCTATGCTTTCATTTGTTGCTTCATGTGTGATTGCGTAGATTTTATGAAGCTGTTGCAGTTGAAGAATTTATTGATCAAGATCACATCAATTGGCTCAATTCGCGGTATAATATCCAGTTGCATTTCTGCTGGAGTGCAAAAGTGCAAAGGCTACGCTGTGTATGGATGCCAAGACGCTAGCCACAAATTCCGACTTGTTCAGAATTTCCTGCAAGCTAACCATCACTTCACACTCTGCTGCATCACTGCCTATTATACCCATCCGCCTCTTCCCTTCTTCTTCCCCTCTTGTAATTCTATTCGCCTACGCCAATGCGGTAGCATCTGCCTGACCCAACATGCCTCCTCGGTTACAAGCTTCAAAATTTTCAGCACCAGCTGTCCCACAGATTTCCTCGTGCTCAGTTGCAAGGCCACATACTTCGTCGTTGCCAGTACGGTCGTCGCGGCAATTTTCACAGACACCATGTGCCCAAGTGACGTTACGGCGGAGGAAATTCTATGAGTGGCTCAATGGGCCTGGCCGACAGCTAAAGGAACCCATACCTGATTCAACAAACTACTTAGGAGCCTACGACAGGTATGGCAACCTAGTACGTGCGGGTCCAGGATGGCGAAAGGATGGCGCTGCGAAAGCTGCTACTGCGACCAAGACGGACACATCCAATGCCGAATCCCAGGCGGACAAGCCGGCCGAGGAGAAGACGCCTGAAGCACAGGAGAATCTGGACGAGCTGGAAGCAGCGATACGGTCTAGTGATGCTGAAAACAAGGAGATGAGCAAGAAAGGCGAAGAGGCGGATGATGGCAAGCTTCCCCCAGAAACGGCGGAAGACTTGCGACCATTTCCCCTCAATCCGTATTTTCGCAGTCAACCAGTCCTGAGTGAGGACTTGCGCGAAGCGATATACAACCGAGTGAAAAAGGAAGGTGCGACCGTCTCACTTGCTAGCGTCGAGTTCGGCGTCAGCAACGAGCGTGTCGGCGCCGTGGTGCGATTGAAGCAGATGGAGAAGGAGTGGGTAGCCCAGGTATGTTACATTTTTTCTTCTACACCTTCCCACGACATGATGAGTTTCTTAAAAAATCGATTAGTCTTTAAGACACCCACATGGTTACAAAACTTAAGTCATGCTCTTGCTGAACGTCGTCACTACATCTACTATATGAACCGCAACACGCTTGACAACAATTGCTGACGCGATTTCAACAGGGCAAGAAGATGGCATTACCTTACTCCAAAGCTGTCCTTTCCATGCTTCCTACAACACCATATATTGACCCCTCTTTGCCACAAAACAAGGGCAAGAGGCCAGTCACTCATGAACCTATTAATGACCTCATTGTGCACCCTGCGACACGACAACAACTATTTGTACCAGTCGCCGAGTCGCGCCGCTTTACACGTGTCGATGCTGGCAAGGCGTTTGATAACAACCTCCTGCCTGCTGATGCGCGTATCCCCCACCCAGAACTAGTGCAGGCAGAGCGTGAACTCGAGGCAGGCCTTGGCTTCGAAGAGCGAAGGAAGCTTGCTGAAGAGCGCCTAGAAAAGCAACAAGAGCAGAAGAGGAGAGAGGAGAGAAAGAAGGAGGCCGAGCTCAAGGCCCTGAAGGTGGTGCCCCAACGGAGATGGGATTTTGTCATCCAGGATGTTAGTGTCGAGGCTGCGGGACGCGATGGAAGAGGAGCAGCGGCAGCTGGATGGCGGTATGGTGTACCACATCAGGATCGCAAACGAGGTATACCCAAGATCCCTACGCGGGTAGAAGCATAGGTGCATCTTATTGTAAAATCACATGATTAAAGCACGCGTCCACACAAGGATCGCACAAGGGAAGCAACGAAGCAACCCCAAACTCTTACGCAGTCCATGGCATGGGCTTCCTTGATGTATAACATATTGTATGATCACGACTCTACATGCCTACAACAGGGCGTATGAATGATTACGACTTTTCCTACAAGAGCATGCATTGTGACATGGTGTACACGAACCAAGTCCATTGCTGGCTCTGCCATGTAGAAGATTCGACATGACTTTTCTTTTCTTCACCGGTACTGGACCTTCTGGCCACCCCGCTTCTCCATCTTGGCCTGTCTCTTGCTTGCCTGCGGTTGGGGCACACCTGCGGCATCCTGGAAGCCGCCTCTCATGCCAGAGTAAGTGCCCCAGGCAGCATAGGCACTGTAGGCGGGGATGATGGTCCACAACCACCAAGCATAGTCGCCCACAATGGCAGCCAGAACGATGCAGCCATAAGTCCAGTAAACCACATCCCACATGTACTCGGTCAGGCCCTTGGCATCGAGGTCCTCGCCAGGTCGCTTCACAGCGCCATCGGCAGTGAGGGTGGGGCGAGAGAGACGCTCAAAGTAAAGCTGGATGAGGAGCTGCGGGGCCGATAGGAGCAGGTAGAGAAGCAGCGACTTTCGGGATAGAGAGGCACGGAAGATGAGGGCTCGGAACAGCCACCAGAAGCCATGGACAACTAGTGTGACGTAGAGGGTCTGGTTAAGGCGCTTGGTGTTGGAGGCGGCAAGCGTTTTGGTAGCTTTCTAGGCAAGGGATGAGCGATTGTCGAGGGGAGATGGGTTTCTTCGACGACGCATCTCGCGGCGGAGGACTGATGTGGCGTGCAAGACGTACCTGTGCCATGATGACGGCGAGTGCGGTGAAGTAGCAAAAAACAGGGTGCGGAACTGTGAAGGAGGATTGTGATGTGTATGGCCCGAGCGCCATAACAAGCGCGCGCAGCCTAGATCGCGACAAAGGCGAGCAACAAACGTCGCGAACATCGCCGCCGCCGTCTCTTCTTCCTGCGCACTCGTCCGAACTATACCGATCTCTACTGCCGTTGGAGTTGTGTAAACCCGTGTTTACCAATTCACTTTGTCGAACACGCCACCAGCAACACTCCGAACAGCCACCGAGATACTCAAACGACCTTCACCACAACACGCCTTCCCTACAACGACCCCCCGGCCCACGCCCTCACCAAGTCTTACCACCACCTCCGCTCTTCCCATGACCACTCGTACTATGAGCCCTCCAGCCTAGATCCTCGCCTTGTCGTCAGGAAAGCATGTCACCCCCGCCAGGCGTCAATGCCCAGCTGCGCCAGCTCATACACTACCATCTCGACAACGGCTTTGTTGAAAACGCTCTGTTCCTCGCTGGCCGCTTGCAAGCACTCGAACCCCGCAATCCAGATGCAGCCCACCTGCTTGCCCTCTGCAATCTTCGCCTCGGTAGATACAAGGCCGCCTTTGACGATGCGCGCACCAAGGGAATGCACACGCAGCATCTGGGATGCGCCTACGTATTCGCCCACGCTTGTCTCGCCCTAGGCCGCTACGAGCAGGGTGGCCAGGCGCTGGAGAAGGTGCGCAGTCTGTGGGCAGGGCGCAACCACTGGAGTAGGTTGTCCACGCAGGCCTTCCCGGCCTACTTCTCGGCCCAGATCCGCTAACAAAGAACGTAGATAAACACTCCGAGACTTCGCGACGACACGTTCCAGATGCAGCAGCCTGCTATTGCCTACTAGGAAAACTATACGCAGCACATGGTGATACGAGGAAAGCCATTGACTACTTCGTCGAAGCGCTTAAGATCAATTCCTTCATGTGGGATGCATTCACCGGCCTTTGCGATATTGGCGCCGTCGTCCGCCCACACAACATCTTCAAGATCACACCCGATATGCTTCCCTTCGCCCAAACACCCGAAATAGATCCCTTCAATACAAGGCAAGCCAGCGACGGTGGGCTAAATATGGGAGGATCGAATCTGCTTTCAAAGCTGAATGGTCGCGCTACGCAACCCAACTCGCACCACGAATTCGATACTCCAGTGGCGAATGGTCAGAATATGCATGATGAACATGTTATGATGGCTGAAACTGGTGGCCCTGTCATGTCACGGGCAGTCACTTCAAGGGTACGCACCAAGACGAATCCAGATGGCGACCAGACGGACATTCCACGACCCGTATACCAGAACGGACATAAGAGAACCGTGTCTGGCCATTCATTACACCAAACGCAGAACGCACCTCCTCAACCGTTGGACCCCACTGCAGCGCCACCACGGCGCAGTGTGAGGTTGTTAAACTCCATTACCCAGATCCGACCGTCAAACCCACGGCAAGGGATGACATCAAGTAAAGAAATTGAGTCGAAAGAGAGGCGTGAGATGCGAAAAGCAAGAGCCGCAGCTCCTAAATCACGATCAGGGACTACATCGACTGTAGGAAGAGTTGTTAGTGGAAACAGGAAACCGCATATCGAGACGTCTGAGCCATCGAAACCTGAGGGCAGACCTCAAAACGGGGCCCCAGTGGCTGTAGCACCACCTCCGAGAATGGCTCCACAAGCTGACACATCACGGGAGCGGGAGGTTTTAAATTGGTTGCTAGACCTACTCCTCAAGATTGGTTCGGGCTATCGACATCTGAGTCGTTATGATGCGTCCAAGGCGTTGGAAGCATTCACAGCCGTGCCCAAGGCACAGCGTGAAACACCTTGGGTCCTTGCACAAATCGGCAAAGCATACTACGAGCGCACACACTACGCAGAAGCAGGAAGCACATTCCGAAAGATCCGAGAAATGGCGCCTTCTTCATTAGAGCATATGGAGGTATATTCCAACACACTATGGCAACTGAAAGATGAGGTATCCTTGGGCCACCTTGCCCACACACTTATGGATCAAGATCGACTATCTCCACAAGCATGGTGTGCACTCGGCAATGCTAGTTCTCTGGACCGACAGCATGATGATGCTGTAAAATGCTTCTCACGCGCTACACAGCTGGATCCAAAGTTCGCCTATGCTTACACACTACAAGGACACGAGCACGTGGCAAACGAAGAGTTTGACAAAGCCATGACTGCTTACCGCAACGCCATCAGTGCAGATAACCGGCACTACAATGGGTGGTATGGTCTGGGCAATGTGTATGAACGTCTGGGTAAATACGAAGTAGCCGAGAAGCACTATCGGGCAGCGGCAGAAATCAACCAGAACAACGCCATGATACTTGTTCGAATAGGTCTTGTAAGTCATTTTACACATACACACACACACACCATCTACTTCACCCAACTAACAGAAATCCCCCCAGGTTCTGGACCGCATGAAGAAAATCGAGCCCGCCCTTTTGCAATTCGAAAATGCCATCCGAATCGACCCCCGCTCCGTCATGGCCCGCTTCCGCAAATCCCAAGTCCTTCTCAAACTCAACGCCCCACAAGAAGCCCTCAAGGAACTCTTGTACCTCAAAGATGCCGCACCCGACGACCCAAACATCCATTTCCTACTAGGAAGATGTTACAAGAAACTGCGCGACCGCTCAAGTGCCATCCGCCACCTAACCATTGCCATGAATCTCGACCCCAAAAGCCATGGTGTCATCAAAGAAGTCATGGAGAGTATCGATCAAGAAGATGATGGGGGATGGAGTAGTGAAGACGAGCATTGATTTTGAAAATTTCCGTCGTCTTCTTCTTCTTCTTCTTCTTCTTCTTCTTTTTAAAGAGAGAAAAAAAACTACTTTGTTTACTATTCTTTATTCTTTCCATCATCTTCCTCTTTAACGAATGACCCTTCATGACTCTCTCTCTCTCTCTTTCATGTCTTCTTCTTCTTCTTCTTTGCGCTGACGACATGAAGTAAAAAATGGGTCTCTCTCCCTCTCTCCATCTCGCTCTCTTTGCATAACATGATGTACCATGCGCTGAGCCTCATCTTCACCATGATACATACACCTCGTCGTTTGATACCTACCGCATTCTCCCTCCCTACCCCCTTCCCTCAAAAACAATCCAATTCTCTTCTCGCATCCATTCAAGGCATTTTCAAGCGTTCTCTCCCTTTTTTTTTTCCTCCAAAGCATCGGGATTAGCGTGTGTGTTTTTTTTTATCGGAAATCATGGGGGGGGACACGCGTTTGCATTCTTTTCTTTTTCTTTTTTTTGCTCTTGTACGCCTATTATGTTGAGTATGTGTGAGAAGAAATATATATACCATTGAATGAGTAGATTTCTTGTTCTTTTTTTTTCCTGGCGTTTTCGCTGGTTGGTGTTCTTGGGGTTCGCTTTGGTTCCCGTTTTTTTTTCGTTGATGAAAGGACGACAGGTTATGCGTGCTGAGTTGGAAAGGGGGAAAGGAAGGGATTGGGTTGTGGTGTAAAAGTGGGAGAAGGGATGGTATTTCGTTTTCGTGCATGTTGATAGAAACAATTGATAATATATGATGACATTCAGGACCAAAAGTTTCGAATGTGGAAATTGTAGAAGAAGAAAAAAAGCCGGGGGGGATTTGAACAAGTGACCACGTATCCTTTCAGTCTTCATCAAACGACATACACGAATTTTGCGTTACAGTATCAATTCACATTGATGACAAGGTTAACAACCTTCATAATCTCATCCTATACGTCTTCTTCGCCCAAACACCTCAAGCATTGCAACGCCAACAAGCACTTAGAAGCAGAAAACCTGATCCTCCAGCTTACTAACCGGCCTCGCCTTGTCGAATCCCAGACTCTCTGTCGCCTTCTTCATGGCCGCAACCATAGGCGGAGGTCCGCAAATCAGAACCTTGACGTCCTTGGCGGGCGCTGGAAGCTTCTCCTTGATCATATCGGCGGTAACAAAACCGACGCCTCCGTTCCACCCTTCAGGCGGGTTGTTAAGCACGTAGTGGACGCGGAACTTGGGGTCCTTGGCGGCGAGCGCATCGAGTTCGTCTTTGAGCAGGATATCCTCGGGGTTGACGTTGGCAAAGATGAGATCGACTTCGGTTTTGTCGCCTGTTGGGCGTCCGCGCATAATGGCCTTTGCGATTTGCAGCATGGGGGTGATTCCGGTGCCTCCGGCAATCATACCAAAGTGTCTGACCATGTTGGGGGTGTATACCATGGCGCCCTTGGGGCCTCGGATCTTCATCTTGTCGCCAATCTTGAGTTCGGTTACGTATTTGGAGATGTTACCGGTGGGGTACGACTTGATGATGAGGTCGACATGGCCCTTGTCTTCGTCGGAGGTGATGGGGGTATACGAGCGGACGACTTCTTTGGGCTGGCCGGGGATCGTGGCGGCGAGAGAAATGTGCTGGCCGATGGGGAGGCCGAGGATATCAGTTGGACGGGGCAGCTTGAAGCGGTAGATGGCCGTGTTGTGCGAGATGACTTGCTTGTGCTCGAGTTCAAACTCCTGGAACTCAGTGGGCTTGAGCACTTTGCGGGGCGCTGGGTGGGTTTAGTTTGAAGTGTTACTTTTGCTTGTGCTGGGATGCTCTTACCGCTACTGCTGCTGGAGTATACCAGGTAGCCACCCACAATGGCGACCAAGGCCACCGCAAACGGTAGAAGATCCATGACTGATACCATTGCCAACGCACGTAGGAGCCGGCGTCTAAAGGCTTAAAAGAAGAAAAGGGAGGGGAAGACAGCGGATGTGCTGGAATGATTCCCGAAAGGTCTCGTTCCCAAGACAGGCCCGCTAAACACATGCCCCGCTCCCATTGGTTGCAGTTGCGAGACTTGGCATGCTTAGCTCTCTCTCGGGGAATGGATGCGCGTTTCGGGAAACTCGACCCACATCACGTGTTCACCGTATGATAATCGTGGCCGGGGTCTGTTGTCTGGATTCCTACACTACAATACACCAAGTTCATGTGACTAGCATAGCAAAGCCGCGGCAAATGCAGCAGCCAGGACAACTGTGATACTGGCCGTCATGGTGCCCGCCGCACCCGCCGCACCAGTTCCCTCCGACCCAGCACCGTCCGACGGTTTTGAAGCTTCACCCTCCTCTACCGGGCTGCCAGTAACATTGGATCCTTGAATCTTCGTCTGCGAGTACAACAAGCCTTGCACGACCTCCATTGCACTGAAAACTTCACCCAAGTTCCCATCGCTAGCAGTGTTGTACTCCCACATGCTTTCTTGATCTACCCAACTCAGTGAGCATGCAACATCTCCTGTCTCTCCCTGACCCTTGCTACAATCCTTTGCTGCGCCTTTGGCCGACTTCTCCAGCATCAAAGTCAGAGGACCCGTCAGAGTAGGTGCAGCAACTGCAGCGCGGGCATAGGAACGAGCAGCAACACCTTTGAAGGCCCGATGATCTATGCCGCATTTGCCGTTGTTCTCGCAGGCGGTCTCCACGAGAACGTCGTTTTCAACGAAGCGAGATGTAGAGTTTACAAATCCCTCGACTGCGTCGGCCCATTTCTGTTTACCATCCGTCTAATAAAGTGATTAGTTGTTGTTCAAATACATGTATAAGATTGTACTCACGATGTTGTATAGGATGGCGGCGCCCTCAGTGAAAAGTCCGTGGTTGTAGGTGAATTGGACTTCGTTGAACTCAGTGCAATTCTGTTCTCCATCGGCGCCGTCGTAAATCTGGTAGTCATCTGTGACAAAGCCCTTTCCATGCGCCCAGTCAAAGATCTTCTCGGCCCATTCAGTATAGGTGCCATTGCCGGTGAACCGCGCAAGACGAGAGGCGAGGAGAAAGAAGTTTCCGTTCGAGGCCGTCTGCTTATAGCTGGATCCCACCTGGAAGCTGTAGATCCCCATAGAAAGACCACCGTCACAGAATTCAGTGCTCCATCGCATGGTCATGACATCAAACACAGAGATGGCTGCGTCTACCCATGATCCATTCTCTGGTTTTGGAAAGCCGAATTCCGCAGCACTCATCGCTGTCTGACCCCAGGCGCAGTGGTCATCGTTGGTCATGGATGCCGTCTGATTTCGCGCCATAAAGGCATAGTCTTTGCCTCGCTGCCATTGAATACCTTCTGAGACTAACGAGTCGTATTGCTTATCGCCAGTCAAACTCGAATATCCGATCAGCCCATCGAGTACGATACCAGCTTCCCACCAGTAGTAGTCATCGGGGAAAACGCCAGGAATTCCAGATTCGGAAACACTCGCGTTGTAATATTTTACGATGCCACTTGCTAGGGTCTTTGCAGCATCGACAATTGAATCTATAAATGTTAGGGGTTGGTTCGGCACGTGAGAAAACGCGCCATGTTACCTCTACTGTTGATGTCCAAATCAAGGGCTGCGACATTGCCATAAAGGCATGAAAAAGCGAGCGATAGCACGGCTTTGCGTGCAAACATTGTGAAAAGCAGTAAATCACGAAACGAATGACTTTGGTCAAGGAAACGTAAGAAACGAGGCTGCGAGGAACGAAAAAGCCGTGAGTTTAGTCTACTGATTATGGCAGAGGGCGGTTTGACATTCTTCTAGTGCTTCTCGCGTGGACCGGAGTCACGGCGCTTGACGATACGACCAATGGTAGTTGTTCTGCTGTTAAATGATGCAGCACGCCTTAATTGCAAAGGGGCGCCTGTTCTAGGCGTCAAGGGGCCCGCCATCCGAGCTTCAACGCCACATATTCTATTTTCTGTCTGAAAAATCCTTCGAGATTTGAAGCATTGGCTTTGCAGTTGGAAAATAGACACAGCCTCGTTACAGTCGTGTCAAGTGGTTTTACGCTCAATACCCATCTTTGCAGCCAAAGCCTTGGCGATATCATGCGCGAATCCTTCGTCGTTGATTGCTCGGTCGTCTTCCACGATATCAATTCCACTTCCTTGGAGGCCATTGTTGATAGCATTGAAGAGCGCAGTATCGGCTTTCGTGTCTTCGAATGGCCCTCCTGGTGTTGCAATCATGCTGATTCCTCCCTTTGGAAGCCAAATCTGCACCGCCTGTGGATCCTTTGCATGTTTCCTCAACTGACTCGTAATGAATTCACCAACTTGTCTGGCTTCACTCTCCGATGTCCTCATCAGCGTCACAACTGGGTTATGCTCATACAGCTTGCGGTCTTTGTAGCGCTCCGGAACGGTACTCTTTGGGCCGAAATTCGTCATATCTGTAGCACCCACAGATACAATAGTTGGTATTCCAGCCTCTGCAGCAGCTTCTAAGCGATGTTCTCCTGCGCTCATGACACCGCCGGTAAGGTGATCGCATATCTCTGTTGTTGTAAGATCGAGCACTGCGTCAAGACCTCCTTCTCGAACAAGTCGCTCCATGGCCTTCCCGCCGTGCCCTGTGGCATGGAACACATATGTTTCAATGTCGTAGTTGGCTTCTAAATGCCTTCGAATCGCGTCCACAGCTGGGGTGGTGACACCAAACATTGTGATGCCAACACGCTTCTTCTGTAGTTGAGCTGTATCCCTACTCTTCAATGCATATGTCCGAGACATTCCGGCAATGGCAGCTCCAGCGTTGCTGAGGACATTTCGAAGAACTTGGTTTAAACCAGCCACGTCAACAACGCTGTACATCATCGTGATATCCGTTTCTCCAACGATTGGGCCGGTGTCACCGCTCGCTACGGTTGAAACAATTAGCTTCGGAAAGCCAATTGGTAGAGCATTCCTCATCACTTCTGCAGCCAGCGATGTACCACCCGAGCCACCTGCATTGATCAATCCATGAATTCTGCCTTCCTCATAAAGCTTCTTAACGGCTTTTGTAGCACAGCCCGCCATGGCCTTGATGACCTTGCCTCGTGGCAGATCACTGACCTTTTCCCCATTACCAAAATCTTTCAATAGTTGCTGTTGAGTAATATCGATAGCTTCGTGGTCGATGGGTTTGCGGCCCACATCAATAACAACTACACTGGCATCATTCCGCTGAATGCTCTCATGTAGAAAAAGCAACTCTTCCAATTTCGTATCACAGGTACCAATAAGTGCAACGCAAGTTGAAGGAGCCATGGCGATAGATATAGATAGGGAATAGGGGGTGGTCAAACTCAACTCCACGGGAATGCCAGTGGGTCCCAAGTAAGTCATCCTCATGTAATGTATGCACGCATCCCCCGCGCCAGAAATGACGTCATCACATCCTACTACACTTACTCAATCGTCCCTAGAACCAACGTGATGGCCGCAATCGCCTTCGAAATCACGAGCATCGTCTAATCTTCCACAATTTCAATTATTCGGAACATATTAGCCATGTCTCCACCCACAGACCGCGCCTCTATCCTACAAAATCTCCGTTCTCAAATCAAAAATGGAAACATCATCGTCGGTGCTGGCGCGGGCATTGGTCTCAGCGCCAAATTCATCGAGGCAGGTGGCGGTGATTTGATTATAATATATAACAGCGGGAGATACCGCATGGCGGGGCGCGGGTCACTGGCTGGATTGATGCCGTATGGCAATGCGAATGATGTTGTGCTTGAGATGGTAAGTCCAACATCTCGTCTTTTAATTCAATTTCTCTCATTTAAAGAATATGAAAAATTTATGGAAGGCTGATATATCACAGGCCGGCGAAGTCCTTCCCATCGTCAAATCAACGCCCGTGCTCGCAGGTGTCTGCGCCACAGACCCTTTCCGCGACATGTCTCGTTTCCTGAAGCAGCTCAAGGATCTCGGGTTCGCGGGCATCCAGAATTTTCCTACTGTAGGTTTGATCGATGGGGCGTTTCGACAGAATCTCGAGGAGACGGGTATGTCGTATGATGCTGAAGTCGAGGTTGTCGAAATGGCGCGAGAGATGGATCTCTTGACTACTCCGTACGTATTCAATGTTGAGGAGGCGAAGAAGATGGCAAGTGCAGGTGCGGATGTGCTGGTTGCACATATGGGGCTGACCACGTCGGGGAGTATTGGGGCGGCGACGGGGAAAAGTCTGGATGAGTGTGTGAAGCTGATTCAGGAAATTCGGGATGCAGCGACGGAGATCAAGGATGACGTTATTATTTTGTGCCATGGTGGTCCGATTGCGAAGCCAGAGGATGCAGAGTATGTTATTAGTCGGACGAAGGGTGTACATGGCTTCTATGGTGCGAGCTCCATGGAGAGATTACCTGTCGAGGAGGCTATCACCAACATCACGAAGACGTTCAAGGGAATAAATGCGAAACCGTAAGTGTAGAACTATGAAATACGCAAAATCAAGCCATTCCTGAAATGCCATTATATCTGTTATTAGATTCTGAAGTATGATGTTAACAACCTATAAAGTATAACGGAAATCCGGGTGACGATCGCCCAGTTTCCCAGAGTCAATCTCCCTGATCCTCTCTTCAATAGTCATTCTCTCCCTCTTCCTGTTTATCTTGCGAAGCACAATGTACATGATGCCGTACCCGCAAGCTGCTACTGTGATTGCACAGATGGATACCGCATGGCCAATTACGTATCGACCATCGCTATTGGAGAGGCGGTAGATCTGACCAGCCATGATGCCCGCTGAGTTACCAATGGCTTGCTGCAGACCAATAGCGGTAGCGCGCTTGAAGTAACCGGCATTGCTGTTGATAACCCATGTAACGTTAAGTCCAACACAGCAGAAGATGCCGGTGGCCGTAACAAAGGTTGCAAAGTATAGTACACCTGTTGACGCCATTGAGACTCCGAGCATCATAGCATAGCCAACGGATGTGACTAAGGCCAAAGGGATCATGAAGTAGGCGCGGCGGTTGACATAGTCCGAACAGAAAGCGATAAAGAGATACACCGCCGAGGCCCAGATGTACACTGGTACTGTCAAAAGCTGAGTGCGGATGCTTGAGTAGCCAAATCCACGGATGATTACTGGAAGAAATGTCGAGAAACCAAAGGAGCATGTGTTTGCACAGAATTGACACGCAGCGCTCAGCCATAGCTTGGGATCCTTGAATGCCAGTTTAACCTCGGTTTTATCCATGGCATCCGTTGTCATCGATTTGCCTTGGTAGAGTCGTTCTTTTTCATGTCTAGCCCGAAGGAGCGCCTTTTCGTCCTCATTCAGCCACCATGCCGTCTCAAAGTTGTCCGGAAGAAGGAAAATCATTGCAACTCCTACGACAATCGAAATGAGGCCCTCGACGAGAAACAGCCAACGCCAGCTTAAGGGATTGTTAGTTCATTATCCAAGGCCGATTTGAACAGTGGAGTACGTACCCAGCAAGACCTCTTGCACCATGCAGGTTTGTCAAGCCGTACGCCAGTAGTCCACCGAAGGCTCCGCTCAAGGCAGACGCTACAAAGAGATACGATACCCTTCGAGCTTGCTCCAGAGGCCTGTAGTACATACTGAGATACAAGGTGAGACAGGGAAACAGCCCAGATTCAAAGGCACCTAGCAGAAGGCGGGTAGCAATGAGAGAAGCGTAATTCTGGACAAATGCAGCCCCAATGATGACAGCGCTCCAGCTGATGATGAAGAAAGGAATCAGACGAGATGGGCGCAGTCTCTTTAACAGAAGTGACGAAGGGAGTTCGAATGCAATATATGTCACATAGAAGAGTGTCACAGCGACATTGAGACGGTTCCCAGTAAGGTTCAGGTCCTCATTCATACCTGCAATAGCAGCATTTCCTAGGACAAATTAGCGAAAGGCGCATCGTGACCGTGTCAGGGCGAGTATATACCGATGTTGGAACGGTCAAGGTAGGCCACCTACGATGAATTGATTAACCTTGAAGAATTACCTGGTAGAAGAGAGGTTTCGTACCAAGAACACTATGACCATCATAGGTGACAGAATAAGGTCCAATTTGCGGATAAGCTGTTTAGTCAGTATACGGCTTCAGGTGGAACACAACAAGTACCTACTTTCTTCTCTGCGATTGGATCAATTTGAATTTCTTCACTTGATCCAGCTTGGACATCCTTCTCGCAAAGCGAGCCATCCGCGGCTTTGGCGTCATGCATTGAGTCCGACATGGCGCAAACAACGTAATTGGGACCCAGAATGAGTTTGAATGCTCATACGGGCAGATTCGGTACAGATATACAACATCATAATACCAGGCGTAGGCATGATGGTTTATCGAGTGTATTTACCGATCTATGATAGACATTTGGCCGACGCGGGGATGTCGCCCGCCTTGCCAATCTGGGTGATGGATGCACGCTAAACTCGCAGCGACCCACTGCAACATGGACTGCAGATAAGATAAACGTATATCGCGATCCCGGTCGTATTGTGGTATCAGTTTTAAGCGGATACTTATCGGCAAATTCTTCTGCATCATCTGGGCATTACTGTATTCCATAATGGATGAGCGTACCAGAGACCGAGTTGAGAGAACTGACAGTGAGCCATTAAGAAAGAAAAAGAAGAGGGGACGACAGGCGAAGAGTTGTGTAACATGTCACAGGAGGAAACAGAAGGTACGTATGACATAATCAGGAATGCCTGTTATGACGTCGTCACTGAAAGAACCTCGTGAGTTCCAAGACTCACGTTGGCATGCTAGATGATGCACCGGACGCTTCATGGCCCTAAGCTTATCATGACCGAGAACGAGAGACCAACAACTGACCAGAGGTACAGTGTGATGGAGAGCTCCCATGCTTCAATTGTACACGACGCGATGTAGCATCAGACTGCACATACAGCGACGAAGCTGAGGCCCATCGCCAGCAATCGGTACACGTATCTACCCTCGGTAACACCGAGCCGACCGCTGAAACTGTCGCTGGCACTATTGCGAGTGAGTTGCGACTAGGCTGTCTGCATCTGGTACCAAGACCGCTTAACTAAAATCATATCAAGCTACTCAGGCTTCTACTTCCTGCAACAAGGCCTCACCGGAACCCAGGGATGCACAGGTCGGAAATCTCTTTCGGAGCAGAGATGCCCCTTCCTTCTTCGGTTCATCCTACTTCGGACCCCAGGCTGCAGCCAAGATAATTGAAGAACCTGCACCAGATCTCTCATCTGGCATTCGTCACGCATCAGCTTCAGCGCAGTCTTTCCGAGATGTTGGTGGCCCTTTTTCACAAATCTGGGACCTACTAGGCATATTGCCTCGAAACAAAGCCAGTGTTGACCGATTAGTTGATGTGTTTATTATCGAGCTCAACTGGACCATTGACGCAATCCATCCTGCTTCATTCAAGACCAGGTATGCCGAGTTTTGGGAGCGCAAGTTTGGCTTTGATGACTACGCATCCATCGACTTGCGTTGGCTGGCATTGCTATTCATCATCCTTGCTTATGGAGTCTTCTTAGACTGCCCACACCCGAAGAACGCTGAAGTTCAGCGAGACTTGCAGGAAACATCTCTTCGATTCTACTGGGCTTCCCGAAGAGCAATTGTGATCGCGCCGACATTCTACGGCGAGTCAACAGATCTTGTCCGCGCTGGCGTCTTAGTAACGCGCTATCTCATACACATGCGACGAGTCCCAGAGTCCTGGTTGACGACCAGTTTCGCTATGCGCATGGCCCAAGCCCAAGGCATGCACATTGATGGCGAGCGATGGCGACTTCCGCGAAAAGAGACTGAGACTAGAAGGCGACTCTGGAGTCATTTGTATACTTTAGACAAGACAATTGCGTTGGCCATTGGCCGTCCATTTGCAATTGTGGACCAGCAATGCCTCGTCCAACGAGCAACCAATGTCTGGCTAGATGACGAGCCAGAAGAACGTGCTGCGGCTCTGCCCGTACTGCCAATTTCCGAGCCCACCCTAAGTGTCTATAATTTCCTAGCTCATGATTTAGCAAAAATTATTGGTAATATTCAAGAACGCTGCTTCGGCCTGTCGACATCCTCGTATGACACTGTTCTTTCCCTGGATCGGGAAATTCTTGAATGGGCAGCCAAATTACCGGAGTACTATCGCATCAAAGACTCTGATACTTCGCAAGATGGTGTTCACCCATTCATACATTGGAATCGCTTATACCTTCACTCCATGTACCACTTTGCTCGCGTTACACTCCATCGCCCATATCTGCTGCGCCAAAGTATTACAAATCGTTTCCGACACAGTCACGATGCTTGCATTTCATCAGCTTGTGCTGACCTTGCAATGCGTATCGACTATCTTCAGCAGCCCTTGCACGACCGTCTGAAATGGAGTTTGGGACCTCATCATCTATTCAACAGCGCGCTAGTCCTGGGAATCGTTGCTGTCAAAGATCCACACTCGTACCAATGCGACGCGATATTAGAAGATCTCACTGCTTATTGCGACATGCAACGCGGAGACATCTGGCTGAATGAGTTTGCACTTGCAGAAGTCAAGATCATTGAACTTTGTATCAAGAAGTCAAAACAATTTCGTAAAAGTCGTGGCAGCAGCAATAGAGCAAGTACATCACTTGGACCGCGATACAGCGCGACAGTGGACCCTCCAGCTACTGCGTACGCCGGAGAACAAAATGATGCCAACAACTTTGTCTCACCAGAAACAATAAACAGCTCAGATGAAGTACCAGGTTTACTCAGTTTTGGTGCAGGAGGTCCGTTTCAATGGCAAGCGCCTCCTTGGGGCGATCCATCTACAGACCTGCAGCAATGGGAGCATGTTCTCGACAGCATCACTCAAGAACAGATGCTTTTTGGATTTCAATAATCACGAGTCCTATTTTGGCAGGTTTTTGATCAATGATGCAGTGGGAAATATAACTCAATACTGCATCCCAGCCATGAATCAGTTTGAATGAGTTAAGTGTTTTTCTAAATTATACGAGCTTGGGCTGCGCTTCGTAAACAACTGGGGTCACTAGACTTCCCATGCCATGGCTCATCACAATTCTCAAATCATCCCCTTGTTTCAACCACACCTTTGGTACTTTGCTCACTCCAATGCCATGTGGTGTGCCGGACATAATCACCGTACCCGGCTCCAGAGTCGTCCCCTGACTGAGATATGCCACGATTTCCGGAATGCTGAATATCATATCGTTCGCAACGGAATATTGCATCGTTTCGCCATTCAGCACAGTCTTCAACTCGATTTGGCCAGGATCGGGTATTGTGGCGGCGGATACGAGGCAAGGGCCTAGCGGCGCGAATCCATCAAAGCCTTTTCCGAAACCCCACTGGGCGCCGTTGAATTGATGAACTCGGGCTGTTACGTCGTTGGAACATGTATAGCCCAGGACGTACTCCATGGCGTTCTCTTTGGTGACATTTCTCGCGGCCTTGCCTATGATAACTGCGAGTTCGGCTTCGTAGTCTGCTTGGCCATTTGTAGCTTGATATGGTATCAGCAGTGGAGCGTTCGGGGCGCCCAGACATGTTGCCGGTTTGAAGAAGAGTGTGGGGTGGTTAGGAAGATCCAGGTTCATTTCTTTTGCATGCTTCCGGTAGTTCAGGCCTATGCAGCGGATGGTTCCTACTTCAGACTTTGAGAGTGGCGGAAGTAATCTCGAGACTGTGAGGACTGTGCTTGTGGGCTTGTTTTGGAGCGAGAGAACAGACGTCCTTGTGAAGAGGCGGGCTTGGACCTTCTCTCCTGACGCTAGAGCTGCGCCAACTATATTGTCTCAGCAGATGTGAAAGATTGCCAGGCGGGCTGCTTACCATCGATGTTTGCATCGAGTGGCTCACCGAGGTGCTCGACATTGTCTTCTTCGGCAATGAAACGTATTAATCTTCTCCAGGCCTACATTTTCATGTCAACTCTATGTCTGTTTTCAGTTCGCAGTTGGATTATACCGTGGGCATACCGCATGCGGTATCTACTTCACTTATGGACCCCATTTCTTGAATAGCCCAGTTGTGATAGGGCGAAAATATCAAGGAGTCATAAGACTTATTTGATCAAAACAAGTGCAAAGCAATCGATCTTATTTCCAATCAGATTGTTGCATTGCCCTATCGATCGGGAAATTCAGAAGAATTCCCCACACCCTTGTGACTGTAGCAAGGGCCCGCCAAACCTAAAGCGATGCATGCGTACACCGCAGCAAAAGATCGTCCATCATTCCGATATTGGGGGTTTGCTCCAAAAATGCCCGTTTGGGCATGCTGTAATTAGGAATTTTGTACTTGATAGTGGCTTTCGAGCTTCACTAGTACTCATGTTTTTACCCTAGAGCCAATTATCGCGTGGCCAAACTCGTTCCTGTCCCCCCTCTCGCCGGGAACTCCTTTTTTAATGATACTAGCCAAATATCCACAATGAATTTGTTGTAGTGTTACATGTCCAAAACTCTAATAAAATATCATGTGCAATGACTCAGTGACCGACCATTTCAGGGACCTTATCAGCGGGCAAATAGTGTTGAAAAGAATTCCCGACAACGCCGACAAGGCCCACTAATGTCGGAAGTGGCGTGTGCAGATAGCGTAGCAGATGTCATCAAGCTCGAGCTACCACGATGACATGATTTGGATGACAAAAGCCGCCGCGGGGTAGCATCGTGTACCCCACTTAAAGCTCTCGCTGGAAGCGTATATGCAGCCGCGTCCAGCCTGCATATCGTGTCACATCGTATTTTGGCATCATTCTTCGCTCATTCTTGGTTTTGGTTTTCGCCTGTGTTAACTGATGACCTTGAAGCCTCTAGGGTCTGTCCAACAATAACTTTCGCATTTCGTGTGCGCGACATAATTCCTAGGCACAACCATGGCTGCGCCAAAGATTGCACAGCGGGGAATCCGCATTGCCATTGACGTACGGAATCTTTCCCTCTAGGTTTGAAGAATCTATGGCTGATCACTGGGTATTTAGCGTGGCGGCACATTCACAGATTGTGTAGGCAATCCCGGAACAGGCAAGATGGAAGATGACGTTCTTATCAAACTTCTTTCTGTTGACCCGTCAAACTACGATGACGCGCCGCTCGAAGGTATCCGTCGCCTCCTTTCCAAATTCACAGGCACCGAAATTCCTCGCGGTCAGCCACTGGACACGTCCAAGATTGAAAGCATACGCATGGGTACAACGGTGGCTACGAATGCGCTGCTGGAGCGCAAGGGCGAGGATATCGCCATGGTTGTGACAAAAGGTTTCAAGGACTGTCTCGAAATCGGCAACCAAAGTCGGCCCAATATTTTCGCTCTGGATATCCGGAAGCCAGAGGTACTCTACAAAAAGGTAGTAGAGATTGATGAGCGTGTCACGCTGGAAGACTATGCCGAGGACCCAGAAAGGAATCAGACGCAAGCCGCCAGTATTGAAGAGGCTGGCGATGAAGCTGAATTAGTCAAAGGATTGTCAGGTGAGACAGTGCGCATATTACAAAGGCCGCAGGAACAAGCAATTAGAAAGCAACTCAAAGAGGTGTATGATAGTGGGTTGAAGAGCATAGCTGTGTGCTTGATGCATGGCTACACATATCCGAAGCATGAAGCGCTAGTAGGCAAAATTGCAAGGGAAATTGGATTCGAACATGTCAGCTTAAGTCACGAGCTCATGCCCATGATTAAGTTGGTTCCACGAGCAACCTCTGCATGCGCAGATGCCTATCTAACACCTGCGATACGAAAGTACATCGATGGCTTCTCCAAGGGCTTTGAAGGTGGCCTTGGTACCAAGAGCGTAAAGCGCGAAGAAGGCTCCAAGGGTGCACGATGCGAGTTCATGCAATCTGATGGCGGACTTGTCGATGTCGATATGTTCTCGGGCCTCAAAGCCATCCTGTCAGGACCTGCTGGTGGAGTCGTGGGCTATGCACTAACATCCTATGATCCACAGACCAAGATACCCGTTATTGGATTCGATATGGGTGGTACGAGTACTGATGTCAGCCGATACGGCGCTGGACGATACGATCACGTCTTCGAGACTACAACTGCCGGAGTCACTATCCAGTCACCGCAACTCGACATCAACACAGTCGCAGCCGGTGGTGGATCGCGTCTCTTCTGGAAGAACGGTCTTTTCGTTGTCGGCCCAGAATCGGCAAGCGCACATCCTGGCCCAGCATGCTATCGAAAAGGTGGTCCATTGACTATTACAGATGCGAACCTGTTCCTTGGTCGGCTACTGCCTGACTTCTTTCCCAAGATCTTCGGAAAGAATGAGGATGAAGGGCTGGACGCGCAAGCCAGCGAGAAGCTGTTCAAAGAATTGGCAGATCAAATTAACAAGGAGATCGCTGGAGGCAACAAGGAAAAGGAAATGTCGTTGGATGACATTGCAAATGGTTTCATCAAGATCGCAAACGAGACTATGACGCGACCCATTCGTAGTTTGACTGAAGCGCGAGGCCACGACACATCGAAACACCGACTTGCAACCTTTGGCGGAGCCGGTGGACAGCACGCTGTTGCCATCGCTGAGGCTCTCGGCATTTCGCAGATTCTTGTTCACAGATACTCATCAGTACTATCCGCATACGGCATGGCCCTTGCTGATGTCGTCGACGAAAGGCAAGAGCCAGAGTCGAAGGTCTGGTCAGATGAAAAGGATGTGAGGGAATACTTGCAAGCCAAGATGGCGGACTTGAAGAGTAAATCAACAGCTACACTAAAGGAGCAGGGCTTTGATGAAGAACACATTCAGTTTGAGGAGTACCTGAACTTGCGATACCGAGGGACTGAGTCAGCGCTCATGATCATCAAGCCAACCAAAGAAGAGGCCCAGCAAGAGTATGGTGGCGACGAGTGGGCCTTTGGGAAAGCCTTTGTTAAGCAACACGAGCAAGAGTTCGGTTTCACACTGCCAGACCGTGACATCATCGTGGATGATGTCAGAGCACGAGGCATTGGAAAGTCCTTTGAAGGGTTGGAAAAGAGCGTGGATCAGCAGCTGAAAGAGATCAAGCCCAAAGACCTTCAAGGCGACACAAAGCGATACGATACGCGCAAGGTGTTCTTCGAGGGTGGTCGGCAAGATACGTCGGTGTACAAGCTTGAAGACCTTGAAGTTGGAGATCGCCTAAAGGGCCCTGCCATCATTGCAGACGGCACACAAACTATCGTCGTTACTCCTGGCGCTACTGCGCTCATAATTAACACGCATGTTGTGATAAACATCGGTGAGACCGAAGATCAAGAAAAACAGATTGACACAAAGGAAGTCGATCCAATTCTGCTGAGTATCTTCGCTCACAGGTTCATGGCTATTGCTGAGCAGATGGGTCGCGCGCTGCAGAAGACTAGTGTGTCTACCAACGTCAAGGAGCGATTGGACTACTCTTGCGCGCTTTTCGACGCAGATGGCGGACTAGTCGCAAATGGTGAGCTTCACATCTATGGAGTCTAACAACGCTAACGTACGTATAGCACCCCATCTTCCTGTCCATCTTGGAAGCATGTCAACATGTGTCCGCAAACAAGCAGCTATCTGGAAAGGCAAGCTCAAAAAGGGGGACGTACTGGTTTCTAACCATCCTATGTTTGGCGGTACACATCTACCAGATATCACCGTTATAACACCAGCATTCAGTGGTGACAACATTGTCTTCTATGTCGCCTCTCGTGCACATCATGCTGATATCGGTGGCATCCTTCCTGGTTCGATGCCTCCGGCTTCTAAGGAGCTCTACCAAGAAGGCGCTGCTATCAAATCAGAGAAGCTCGTATCAGAAGGCCACTTCAACGAAGAGCGCATCACAGAGCTACTGCTCGATGAACCAGGTCAATATCCTGGATGCTCTGGCACTCGATGCCTGAGTGACAACATCAACGATCTGAAAGCTCAAGTCGCCGCTAACCAGAAGGGTATCAATCTCATCAGTACGCTCATGTCCGACTACGGCGAGGAAGTCGTCAAGCTCTACATGACCAGCATCCAAGCCAATGCCGAGAAATCTGTGCGAGCGTTACTCAAAGACGTGTACAAGCGCTTTGAGGGCCAAGACCTCAGTGCGGAGGAATTCATGGACGATGGAAGTCCTATCCGCCTCAAGGTCTCCATTGACCCAGAAAAGGGCGAAGCTGTCTTTGACTTTTCAGGAACAGGCCCTGAAGTCTACGGCAACATCAACGCCCCTGAAGCCGTCACGTACTCGGCTATTATCTACTGTCTGCGATGTCTGATCAGTGAGGATATCCCACTGAACCAAGGTTGCTTGAAGCCAATCCACGTTCTCATTCCTAAGAAATCTTTCCTCTCACCATCGGATAATGCGGCTGTTGTGGGAGGCAACGTACTTACGAGTCAGCGCGTCACAGACGTCGTGTTGAAGGCTTTCCGTGCGTGTGCCGCCAGTCAAGGCGATTGCAACAACCTTACCTTTGGTTTTGGCGGTACAACATTCGGGGAAGGAGAGAAGAGCGGAGAGAGAAAAGAGACCAAGGGATTTGGATACTACGAGACCATCGCTGGAGGGTCTGGTGCAGGGCCAACATGGAACGGAACCAGCGGCGTGCATACACATATGACCAACACTCGCATTACCGACTCCGAAGTGTTTGAGCGCCGATACCCTGTTCTGCTCCGAGAATTCTCACTTAGACAAGGTAGTGCAGGACGCGGAATGCACATAGGTGGCGAAGGAGTCATCCGTGACATCGAGTTCCGCATCCCAGTCCAAGTCAGCATTTTGAGCGAAAGAAGAGTTTACCATCCATACGGTATGGAAGGCGGAGGCGACGCCGCCTGCGGTCTCAATATCTGGGTCCGCAAAGTCGACAAAAAGGCTATCGACCAAAACTCAGACTCTAAGAAACCTACTGAACCTCAAGAATCGGCACCGTGCGCGCCCACGACGTCAAGTGACGTGGAAACTCTGGAGAAGAAGGATGCTGCGAGGGACAGGAAAGAAGATGTTGAGTATAGGTACATCAATCTTGGTGCGAAGAATACGGCT